TTGGGGCAGGTAGCATTTTCCTGGTATCCACCAAACCCAGATTTGTCTGTCGGACTGCCAGATGGTGAAGCGTGATTCATCACGCCAGAAAACGCGTTTCCACTGCTCCAGAGTCCAATGGCGGCGAGCTTTACACCACTCCAGCTGACGCTTGCATTGTGCATGGTGATCATAGGCTTGTGTGTGGCTGCTCGGCCATGGAAACCCATTTCATGAAGCTCCCGACGAGTAGTTATTGTGCTGACGTTGCTTCCAGAGGCAGTTTGGAACTTGGTAGTGAGTATTGCAGCCGAGGACAGACGATTTTTACACACTTTACGCTTCAGCACTCGGTGGTCTCGTTCTGTGAGCTTGTGTGGCCTACCACTTCGCGGCTGAGCCGTTGTTGCTCCTAGACGTTTCCACTTCACAATAACAGTACTTACAGTTGACCGGGGCAGCTCTAGCAGGGCAGAAATTTGACGAACTGACTTGTTGGAAAGGTGGCATCCTATGACGGTGTCACGTTGAAAGTCACTGAGCTCTTCAGTACGGGCCATTCTTCTGCTAATATTTGTCTATGGAGACTGCATGGCTGTGTGCTTGATTTTATACACCTATCAGCAACAGGTGTGGCTGAAATACCTGAATCCACTAATTTGAAGGGGTGTCCACATACTTCTGGCCATGTAGTGTACCTCGTGAAGCAACTGCTCTCTATCCCTCTCGATCACGCGTTCTTCTTTCTTATCTCCCTCTCCGTGTCTGCCCCACACAGACCGGACAGGTAGGCCTCAAATGGATTATGGTCATTGTAGTTAATTACCACGTTTTCTGCTCTACACCACTCAGAATATTAGCCTGTTGGAAACTACAGCTCTCTACTGCATCGCACAGTTTGGGCTTGATCTGATATATCTCTAGAGAAACTGTGCAATTGATGTGAGCATTGATCTCACAGAAAAAAACTGACCTAAATGTAATTCAAATGATTGAACCAACGTATGTCAACATTTTGGTTAATCGCTTAGCACTACTGAGTACTCACGTGGCCTGTCTATCTGCCTCTACCTGTCAGTCTGATAGCCTGTGAACCTCAACCTCAAAGCCCTAATTTAGTCAAAGTACTGATAAACAGCATGAGACCCTAGAGAGGGGCTGACTGGCGGCCTGTCTATACACACACACATCCCCATCCACATTCTCTCACATAAACAGGCCCATCTGGCCCTCCTGTCTGTAGTTCACGTGTATGGTTGTAACTACTGAATCCCTCCCCCTCCTCCTCCTCCTCCTCTTCCTCCTCCTCCTCTTTCTCCTCCTCCTCCTCCTCTTCCTCCTCCTCCTCCTCCTCCTTCCCCAACCCAAAGCTCCAGAGTCTTTAGCCTACTAAGTGAACTGGCTAACATCTCCTATGAGGAGAGCTGTACATCATAGATGTGTCTTGTTTCAGATACAACTTTTCATCCCAAATTGCACCCTATTTCAATATATCATGCACTACTTTTGACCGAAGTAGTGCACTATATAGGGAATAGGGTGCCATTTGGGGGGCAGTCAGGGGGGTTCCCTCAGGGAACACATCTCTCTGATCCACACTGCTTTAATGATTTAAGTATAATGGTGCCTCATAGCAACGGTGAACGCTACATTAGCTCGCTGTTGCAAAACAATGGCTCAAGACGATACCCAGGCCAGGAGATGTGGGATGGGGAGTGGAGGACTACAGCTCATCGTTACTGCTATCCAGAGGCTGCTGTTGACAAATTGTTTTCCCTAAATAGAATTATTCATCAGGATATGATCAGCCCTGGATGTCAGCACAGCACCAGTAGACCATTCTATCATCATTGATTAGTTGTATTGATAACTCATATGTAGATATAGATTGGTATTCTAGCCCATGTTGTTTGTTTGCTCTATGGTCCATTAGAGCCAGACTAGAAGGCTGTAGACCAGGTGTCTGGCTGAAGATGTTGGGTACCGACTTCAGACGAGCCCTGTGACGCTAGTGTTGGTGAGAGTCTCGTCTTGGCATAGAGGGGTCATAATAGTTTTGTAGGTTTTGACGTTTTTGGGATGTCTCATGGTCTGACAAACACAGCTGTAGCTCTGCCACCTTTCACCGCAGATGCGGAAGACCAACATTGACGGATGCGGTGGATTGAGACGCAGCCCGTGCAGAAAAACAGATACTGTATGTCTCGCTTAAACAGATATGGGAATTTCTGGGGATTTTTGTATTATGCTAATTCAATTTCCACAGGGGCGCGGACATTGACTCTAGGGGTTAAGTTGCTTGATGGAGGATTTATCTATGAGAAATATATCAGAGAGCCAAATGCTATTCTGAAGCCAGCATACAGTATAATATGATACTCGGTAAAAGAGAGGTGTTCATATCATTCTTCTTAGACGACAAATAGCATCAACAGTGTTTGCTTTTTCATTAATTTATCTGTAAATTCCAACATTCAACCACTGTTGATTGGCAACAAAGTCTATTGACCTGAATTAAAATGTGTCCTTGCTCAACTGTCAGTCAATTAACATACAGACAGAGAGGGGGGGTTGGGGGTTGACCTGGGAAACACCTGATCATATAATTGCCTCTTGTTTATTTGTTGACTTAATTAAATTACTCTGATAGGAGTGGAGATGATTAGTATGCTTCCGCAAAATTAGCAGAAAATCCAATTGGCTATTATTATAATTAGCCCCAGTGGCGCAGTGTGTTATGTGTGGTGAGAGACACTGAAGTGGTGGGCCACACACACACACACACACACACACACACACACACACACACACACACACACACACACACACACACACACACACACACAGAAGTGAAATGCTACTGAAAGACAAGTGTGCCCTTTCCCCACAACACATAAATCATAGGGAGTCAGTCCAATGTGGAAATGTGATAATGTCACTGTTGGGAATGGCTGGAGTATGTCACTGTGGGTGTTACACTCCACACTCCACAGAGCCTGGATAGGTGAAAAGGCTAAAGTGGCATTTATCATCTGCTGTGAACACTAGCCAGTTGGCAGGAGTGTGTTTATATGAACTGCAGTATGACTTAAGTATGAGAGGAAGGATGTCAGTTGAGGTTTGTGTGTATCTGTTGTAGCAGTATTTGGGTACCTGCTTTCTGTACGTGCATGTCCTAATATTACTGTCTGTGTGAGTAGTTCGGCATTATGCCAGTATGTGTGTGTGTGTGTCTATGAGTGAGTGTGTGTGTGTGTATGAGTGAGTGTGTCTGTGAGTGAGTGAGTGTGTTTGTGAGTGAGTGTGTTTGTGAGTGAGTGTGTGTGTGTGTGTGTGTGTGTGTGTGTGTCTATGAGTGAGTGTGTGTGAGCTTGTCTGTGTCTTTGTGTGTTTAAATGAGCCTGTGAATTCTCTCTCTGCACTATGTCCGCACAGTGTTATAGCAATCCTCTACATAAAAAGGCCATACAACTCAATACCTCCACAGTTATCCCTTTGGTTCAGCTGACCCTATTAAGGCAGGGCCAGCCGCTTATCACTGCATACTAACAGTCATTTAGCCTGTGCTGCCACTACACAGAGCCAGGGCCAGGCCTGGGGCTATTTGGGCAGCCAGGAAATCAATGAGGTTAGAGGGAGACACAGAGAGGTTATAGAGGAGCCTGTCAGAGCCTGTCTCAGAGCATCTCTCTCAGTCTCAGACACATACAGTACAGAAGCCAAGTGTTTTTAGCATGGCTGTGGCTCTTGGCCCTGGAGGCTCCATGGCTGGATGTGTAGTTCAGAGCAGGCCCAGGCGCCTGTGGCTCTGGGCCCTGGAGGCTCCATGGCTGGATGTGTAGTTCAGAGCAGGCCCAGGCGCCTGTGGCTCTGGGCCCTGAAGGCTCCATGGCTGGATGTGTAGTTCAGAGCAGGCCCAGGCACCTGTGACTCTGGGCCCTGGAGGCTCCATGGCTGGATGTGTAGTTCAGAGCAGGCCCAGGCGCCTGTGGCTCTGGGCCCTGAAGGCTCCATGGCTGGATGTGTAGTTCAGAGCAGGCCCAGGCGCCTGTGGCTCTGGGCCCTGGAGGCTCCATGGCTGGATGTGTAGTTCAGAGCAGGGCCAGGCGCCTGTGGCTCTGGGCCCTGGAGGCTCCATGGCTGGATGTGTAGTTCAGAGCAGGCCCAGGCGCCTGTGGCTCTGGGCCCTGAAGGCTCCATGGCTGGATGTGTAGTTCAGAGCAGGCCCAGGCACCTGTGACTCTGGGCCCTGGAGGCTCCATGGCTGGATGTGTAGTTCAGAGCAGGCCCAGGCGCCTGTGGCTCTGGGCCCTGGAGGCTCCATGGCTGGATGTGTAGTTCAGAGCAGGCCCAGGCGCCTGTGGCTCTGGGCCCTGGAGGCTCCATGGCTGGATGTGTAGTTCAGAGCAGGCCCAGGCACCTGTGGCTCTGGGCCCTGGAGGCTCCATGGCTGGATGTGTAGTTCAGAGCAGGCCCAGGCGCCTGTGGCTCTGGGCCCTGGAGGCTCCATGGCTGGATGTGTAGTTCAGAGCAGGGCCAGGCGCCTGTGGCTCTGGGCCCTGGAGGCGCCATGGCTGGATGTGTAGTTCAGAGCAGGCCCAGGCGCCTGTGGCTCTGGGCCCTGGAGGCTCCATGGCTGGATGTGTAGTTCAGAGCAGGGCCAGGCGCCTGTGGCTCTGGGCCCTGGAGGCTCCATGGCTGGATGTGTAGTTCAGAGCAGGGCCTGGAGTGTGATTGTGTTTCTCATCTCTAATCTCATACCCTTTTTAGCGCCCACTGTCATTCTGTTACGCAGTCTGTTAGAAGAAGTTCCTCTTTCTTACTGTTCTGTTTTGTCTATACTCTCTTACATGACTCTTACATGACAGCTCATGGTTTCCCTTCATCACTCTCCCATGTTTAGACCTCTAACTCATCCCTCTCTCTCTCTCTCTCTCTCTCTCTCTCTCTCTCTCTCTCTCTCTCTCTCTCTCTCTCTCTCTCTCTCTCTCTCTCCGTGTCTCTTGCTTCCCTCTACAGACGCCAAGGCCTGCCCCGCCAAGGAGTTCCAGTGCCATAACAGGAAGTGTGTGGCTCCCATCTTTGTGTGCGACGGCGATGACGACTGCGGGGATGGGAGTGATGAGGAGAAGTGTTCCATTTCCACCTGTGGCCCCCACGAGTTCCGCTGTAACGACTCAGAGTGCATCCCGGCCCTGTGGAGCTGCGATGGGGACCCAGACTGCGGGGATAAGTCTGATGAGTCTATGGAGCGCTGTAGTCGCCGGACAGAGCCCCAGAAGCCCCGTTGCCCGGCGGGGGAGTTCCAGTGTGGAAGTGGAGAGTGTGTCCACCTCAACTGGAAGTGTGACGGCGACGCAGACTGCAAGGACAAATCTGACGAGGCTGACTGCGGTAAGTCATCTACTGTATCTGGGCTTGGGTCACCTGAGGATGCACACAGGATGTGGCCGTACATATACAGTGCATTCGGAAAGTATTCAGACCCCTTGACTTTTTCCACATTATTTTTACATTACAGCCTTATTCTAAAATGGATTAAATTGTTTTTTTCCCCCTCATCAATCTATGGCTGTGGTCAAAAGTTTTGAAAATGACACATATTAATCTTCACAAAGTCTGCTGCCTCAGTTTTTATGATGGCAATTTGCATATACTCCAGAATGTTATGAAGAGTGATCAGATGAATTGCAATTAATTGCAAAGTCCCTCTTTGCCATGAAAATGAACTTAATCCCCAAAATACATTTCCACTGCATTTCAGCCCTGCCACAAAAGGACCAGCTCGCATCATGTCAGTGATTCTCTCGTTAACACAGGTGAGAGTGTTGACGAGGACAAGGCTGGAGATCACTCTGTCATGCTGATTACATTTTACATTTACATTTTAGTCATTTAGCAGATGCTCTTATCCAGAGCGACTTACAGTTAGTGAGTGCATACATTTTTCATACTGGCCCCCCGTGGGAATCGAACCCACAACCCTGGCGTTGCAAGCGCCATGCTCTACCAACTGAGCTACAGGAGGCCCCTGATTGAGTTAGAATAACAGACTGGAAGCTTTAAAAGGAGGGTGGTGCTTGAAATCATTGTTCTTCCTCTGTTAACCATGGTTACCTGCAAGGAAACACGTGCCGTCATCATTGCTTTGCACAAAAAGGGCTTCATAGGCAAGGATATTGCTGCCAGTAAGATTGCACCACCTAAATCAACCATTTATCGGATCATCAAGAACTTCAAGGAGAGAGGTTCAATTGTTGTGAAGAAGGCGTCAGGGCACCCAAGAAAGTCCAGCAAGTGCCAGGACCGTCTCCTAAAGTTGATTCAGCTGCGGGATCGGGGCACCACCTGTGCAGAGCTTGCTCAGGAATGGCAGCAGGCAGGTGTGAGTGCATCTGCACGCACAGTGAGGCAAAGACTTTTGGAGGATGGCCTGATGTCAAGAAGGGCAGCAAAGAAGCCCCTTCTCTCCAGGAAAAACATCAGGGACAGACTGATATTCTGCAAAAGGTACAGGGATTGGACTGCTGAGGACTGGGGTAAAGTCATTTTCTCTGATGAATCCCCTTTCCGATTGTTTTGGGCATCTGGAAAAAAGCTTGTCCGGAGAAGACAAGTTGAGTGCTACCATCAGTCCTGTGTCATGCCAACAGTAAAGCATCCTGAGACCATTCATGTGTGGGGTTGCTTCTCAGCTAAGGGAGTGGGCTTACTCACAATTTTGCCTAAGAACACAGCCATGAATAAAGAATGGTACCAACAAATCATCCGAGAGCAACTTCTCCCAACCATCCAAGAACAGTTTGGTGACGAACAATGCCTTTTCCAGCATGATGGAGCACCTTGCCATAAGGCAAAAGTGATAACTAAGTGGCTCTGGGAACAAAACATCAACATTTTGGGTCCATGGCCAGGAAACTCCCCAGACCTTAATCCCATTGAGAACTTGTGGTCAATCCTCAAGAGGCAGGTGGACAAACAAAAACCCACAAATTCTAACAAACTCCAAGCATTGATTATGCAAGAATGGGCTGCCATCAGTCAGGATGTGGCCCAGAAGTTAATTGACAGCATGCCAGGGCGGATTGCAGAGGTCTTGAAAAAGAAGGGTCAACAATGCAAATATTGACTCTTTGCATAAACTTAATGTAATTGTAAATAAAAGCCTTTGACACTTATGGAAAGCTTGTAATTATACTTCAGTATACCATAGTAACATCTGACAAAAATATCTAAAAACACTGAAGCAGCAAACTTTGTGAAGACCAATACTTGTGTCATTCTCAAAACTTTTGACCACGACTGTACACACAATACCCCTTAATGACGAAGCAAAAAAATTATTTTATAATTTTTTGCAAATGTATTACAAAAATTTACATAGGTATTCAGACCCTTTACTCTGTACTTTGTTGAACCACCTTTGGCACCGATTACAGCCTCAAGTCTTCTTGGGTATGACGCTACAAGCTTGGCACACCTGTATTTGGTGAGTTTCTCCCATTCTTCTCTGCAGATCCTCTCAAGCTCTGTCAGGTTAGATGGGGAGCATCTCTGCACAGCTATTTTCAGGTCTCTCCAGAGATGTTCGATCAGGTTCATGTCTGGACTCTGGCTGGGCCACTCAAGGACATTCAGAGACTTGTCCTGAACCCACTCCTGCGTTGTCTTGGCTGTGTGCCTAGGGTCGTTGTCCTGTTGGAAGGTGAACCGTCGCCCCAGTCAGAGGTCCTGAGCACTCTGGAGCAGGTTTTCATGAAAGATCTCTCTGTACTTTGCTCCGTTCATCTTTCCCTCGATCCTGACTAGTCTCCCAATCCCTGCCACTGAAAGACATCCCCACAGCATGATGCTGCCACCACCATGCTTCACCGTAGGGATGGTGCCAGGTTTGCTTGGCATTCAGGCCAAAGAGTTCAGTCTTGGATTCATCAGACCAGAGAATATTGTTTTTCATGGTCTGAGTACTTTAGGTGCCTTTTGACAAACTCCAAGCTTGCTGTCATGTGCCTTTTACTGAGGAGTGGCTTCCGTCTGGCCACTCTACCATAAAGGCCTGATTGGTGGAGTGCTGCAGAGATGGTTGGAAGGTTCACCCATCTCCACAGAGGAACTTTGGAGCTCTGTCAGAGTGACCATTGGGTTCTTGGTCACCTCCCTGACCAAGAAGGCCCTTCTCCCACGATTGCTCAGTTTGGCCAGGCAGCCAGCTCTAGGAAGAGTCTGGGTGGTTCCAAACTTCTTCTATTTAAGAATGATGAAGGCCACTGTGTACTTGGGGACATTCAATGCTGCAGAGTTTTTTTGGTACCCTTCCCCAGATCTGTGACTCGACACAATCCTGTCTCGGAGCTCTATGGACAATTCCTTCGACCTCATGGCTTGGTTTTTGCTCTGACATGCACTGTCAACTGTTGGACCTTATATAGACAGGTGTGCCTTTCCAAATAATTTCCAATCAATTTAATTTACCACAGGTGGACTCCAATCAAGTTGTAGAAACATGATCACAGATGATCAATGGAAAAATAATGCACCTGAGCTCAATTTCAAGTCTCATAGCAAAGGGTCTGAATAGTTATGTAAATGAGGTATTTCTACAAACCTGTTTTCACTTTGTCATTATGAGGTATTGTGTGTAGATTGAAAAATAATTAAATACATTTTTAGAATAAGGCTGTAACGTAACAAAATGTGGGAAAAAATGAAGGGGTCTGAAAACTTTCCGAATGCACTGTATATGTATATAGTCTATATGGACAGGAAGTGGAGTTTTCTGTGTGTGTAGGGTTGTAGTAAGCTTAGAATGACTTAACAGCTTAAAATCACTATACATATCTATGTACAATTAATATATGTGGATGGATTTGTTTGTGTACAGGCATTGGTGTGTATTGTAGCGTCTTTGTCTGTATGTGTGTGCCTGCGTGTCTGTATGAATGATACAGTATGCTATCAAAGCCCCCCTGAGACATCTGTTTTGGCGCCCGTTAATAAGAAGCTCCACGCTGGAATCACCACGGCAATCAGTGGGATTGGTTGCCATGCAACAGTGTGATGATTGGAACAGTGGAGAGCCCTTGAGAGGGAGCGAGGGTCCCCACTACCATGGCCTCTCTCCCTGAGTAACACACTATTCTCAACCCCAGAGACCACTCAGTAATGACAAACACTGATCACAAAGACAGGGAGGAAGTCAGAGTAGATTCATGCAGGGGTTTCAGACGTATTGTTAAAATATGATTAAACCTACCTACCATTATGATAAAAACTATATGATAAAAATATAATATCCTACCTTATTGTGGGTACTTTATATTAACTGTAGAGACCATACTAATGTTAAGCCGATGTACAAGTCATACCAGTGCTGTGGTGTCATGTGTAGTGGTATGTGATGACATGATCATTACTTAAAAAATAAATGAACAACTGTTTTATTGTGTGCTCTGAAATAAAACCCAGTCCACTGAGGCCCACAGGAGAGGTCATCATGCTGGGTTTAGAGATAAAACATGTGGCTATGAGTCCAGAGACTGTTAGGAAAAGTAACCCAAATAAACATTAACATAACCTTTAAGTCTATATATTAGATCTTGAAGTGCAAACAAACCACCCAGAGCACAGACATTTTAGTAAGTTATTGTATCTTTGTTTCTTTGTGTCTTCTGATGAGCAGGACCCTAATGCAGTGTTCTGTGCATTTGTTTTGTTACAACCCAAAATGAAATAGAGATACAGGACATACCCCTGAACTAGGCACATGATTCTATAGGTGTACCTCAAATGTATTTAGCTGATTCCCTCATCGTCTTCCTCTCAAAGCACATTGAAGCAGAAGATCTGAAGTTCCTCCTAAATTATATACAGTGCATTTGAAAAGTATTCAGACACCTTGACTTTTTCCACATTTTGTTATGTTACAGCCTTATTGTAAAATTGATTAAATTGTCCCCCCCCCCCCCCCTCATCAATCTACGTACAATACCCCATAATGACAAAGCAAAAAAATAGATTATTTGAAATTTTAGCAAATTACAATTTATTAAAAAAAACTGAAATATCACATTTACTTAAGTATTCAGACGCTTTACTCAGTACTTTGTTGAAGCACCTTTGGCAGCGATTACAGCCTCAAGTCTTCTTGGGTATGACGCTGTATATATATATATATATATATATATATATATATATATATATATATATATATATATATATATATATACATACATATACATACATACATACATATACATACATATATATTATTCTACAAAGTAGAAAATTGTCAAAATAAAGAAAAACCCTTGAATGAGTAGGTGTTCTAAAACTTTTGCACGGTAGTGTATGTATATACAGTGGGGGGAAAAAGTATTTAGTCAGCCACCAATTGTGCAAGTTCTCCCACTTAAAAAGATGAGAGAAGCCTGTAATTTTCATCATAAGTACACGTCAACTATGACAGACAAAATGAGGAAAAAAAATCCAGAAAATCTAATTGTAGGATTTTTAATGAATTTATTTGCAAATTATGGTGGAAAATAAGTATTTGGTCAATAACAAAAGTTTCTCAATACTTTGTTATATACCCTTTGTTGGCAATGACACAGGTCAAACGTTTTCTGTAAGTCTTCAAGGTTTTCACACACTGTTGCTGGTATTTTGGCCCATTCCTCCATGCAGATCTCCTCTAGAGCAGTGATATTTTGGGGCTGTCGCTGGGCAACACGGACTTTCAACTCCCTCCAAAGATGTTCTATGGGGTTGAGATCTGGAGACTGGCTAGGCCACTCCAGGACCTTGAAATGCTTCTTACGAAGCCACTCCTTCGTTGCCCGGGCGGTGTGTTTGGGATCATTGTCATGCTGAAAGACCCAGCCACGTTTCATCTTCAATGCCCTTGCTGATGGAAGGAGGTTTTCACTCAAAATCTCACGATACATGTCCCCATTCATTCTTTCCTTTACACTGATCAGTCGTCCTGGTCCCTTTGCAGAAAAACAGCCCCAAAGCATGATGTTTCCACCCCCATGCTTCACAGTAGGTATGGTGTTCTTTGGATGCAACTCAGCATCCTTTGTCCTCCAAACACGACGAGTTGAGTTTTTACCAAAAAGTTCTATTTTGGTTTCATCTGACCATATGACATTCTCCCAATCCTCTTCTGGATCATCCAAATGCACTCTAGCAAACTTCAGACGGGCCTGGACATGTACTGGTTTAAGCAGAGGGACACGTCTGGCACTGCAGGATTTGAGTCCCTGACGGCGTAGTGTGTTACTGATGGTAGGCTTTGTTACTTTGGTCCCAGCTCTCTGCAGGTCATTCACTAGGTCCCCCCGTATGGTTCTGGGATTTTTGCTCACTGTTCTTGTGATCATTTTGACCCCACGGGGTGAGATCTTGCGTGGAGCCCCAGATCGAGGGAGATTATCAGTATGTCTTCCATTTCCTAATAATTGCTCCCACAGTTGATTTCTTCAAACCAAGCTGCTTACCTATTGCAGATTCAGTCTTCCCAGCCTGGTGCAGGTCTACAATTTTGTTTCTGGTGTCCTTTGACAGCTCTTTGGTCTTGGCCATAGTGGAGTTTGGAGTGTGACTGTTTGAGGTTGTGGACAGGTGTCTTTTATACTGATAACAAGTTCAAACAGGTGCCATTAATACAGGTAACGAGTGGAGGACAGAGGAGCCTCTTAAAGAAGAAGTTACAGGTCTGTGAGAGCCAGAAATCTTCCTTGTTTGTAGGTGACCAAATACTTATTTTCCACCATAATTTGCAAATAAATTCATTAAACATCCTACAATGTGATTTTCTGGAGAAAAAACTTCTCAATTTGTCTGTCATAGTTGACGTGTACCTATGATGAAAATTACAGGCCTCTCTCATCTTTTTAAGTGGGAGAACTTGCACAATTGGTGGCTGACTAAATACTTTTTTCCCCCCACTGTATATATATATATATATAATACATGTTTTATGTATTTTTATTTATTTGTACATTTATTTGATCAGGGAGTCATACTGAGACCAAGGCCTCTTTTACAGATGAGCCCTAAATTACAGATATTACAGAAAATACACACATCAAAATATAAATACAACATGTAAGCAGAAATAAAGAAAAACAAGGTCATAAAAAACAAACACATTCATCTGTAATAAGGTCCTCAATCAGCTTTCTGAGGCACCACAACATCACATTTAAGAAGGTTTTGAAGATTGTTCCACAAATAAGGTGCAAGAAAACTAAAAGCTGATTTACCTAACTCAGTATAGACCAAAGGAATTTCCATAGTTAGCCATCCCTGAGACTGGGTGTGGTAACTCATATGTCTAAAGTTTAGTAATGATGTTAGGTACAGTGGGACTTTTTGTAAAAGGGCTTTATAAATTAAAACATAGCAATGTATCAACTTACGTGACATCAAAGAGGGCCAACCAACTTTCTGGTAGAGAATTCAGTTATGAGTTCAAAAATTGTCGCCCATAGTAAAGCGCAGTGCACTATAATAAACTGCATCTAATGGCTTTAAAGAAGCGATGAGAAATGAGAAATGGAGAATCACACACACGCTCACACGCACGCACGCACACACACATACATAAACACACAGTACTAACAACAGAACCAGTCCTGGGTGTGTGTTTTACACGGACAGTGAGTAAATACCATAGAATTAGGAATTAGAATACTAGAATGTACATGAACCATCTTATGATGGGATAAAGGTCAGTCATTTTGGTCAGGGAGTTGGTCAACCATGGTTTGCCAGTGCTGTGATAAGATATTGTGTAAAATAATGCATTTGAAGAATTTATTTGCACTGTATGTTGATTAGCTAGCTAGCCAGCCAGTTTTAGAGGAATTATTCCAATAATATTTCAATTTAACTGCCAATATGCCAGCATTCCATTCAAACAATGCACTCAATCCACAGCCATACACCACACCAATCAGTTGATGATAGGACTTACACAAGTTGTAAATACAACAAGTACTGATATTGTATCATATAATAGCACTCACAGCTTTACAAGAAAACAAAAAAATGAGACATTTATGGTCTGTTTACATATATTTTAGAAGCTATTTAGACAGAAAATTGGTATAAAACTGGTATAAACTGTCTTTATGACAATATTTTATGTTGACAGTAATTCTATTGCACTATGTCTGATATATCACATGGCTTACTTTGATTTTCCTGTGTAAGTAAAATCAGGATTATTGGGGGGAACAGAGGGTGATTACTGTTGAATTGGAATGCCCTCTGTGTTTCATTCTCGTTGTGTGTGTTCTCTCCTCCACAGCTCTGCTGACCTGCCGTCCAGATGAGTTCCAGTGTGGTGATGGGTCCTGTGTCCATGGTACCAAGCAGTGCAACAGGGTGCACGACTGTCCTGACTTCAGTGATGAGGCCGGCTGTATCAACGGTGGGTAGACCCTGCCTTCTCTGCTGCCCTTTATCTCCTCTCCTAGCTATTGCATTATGTCCATATAGTTGACATATGTTCCAATAATCCAAAATACATTTTCCTTAGTTTCCTCCCATCTTTTTTCCACTTATTGCTATACTCACTGGGTTTTCACACAAAGGGAAGGCATTTATGGGTACATTGGGACACACTACTGCTGTAGCTTTCTTTCTTCATATCCTTACTACATTCTCCTATCCAGCTCTGTGGGCATTTAAAAGAATATTGGGACACAGAACTGTTTCTGTATACCTATGGTGAAGTAAATCTAGATTTTGTTGCCATGTGTCTATGGTAACACATTCTTATTTGAGAGCTACGGTCTTTGTCTTGTCTATCTATGCCGGAGAAAACTCAAGGTCAAACTAATGCTAACTGGGATTTATTTAGGAGCCGTTGTTGTAAGATGTAGTCAGTGATCAACCTGAAATCCATAACACACTGCTACACAGTTTCACACAATGTTTGGTGTGTGTGTATGTGGGTGTGTGTGTGTGTGCTTGAATAGTGGTGTAACTCCAGCCATGCAGACACAGTAGAATAGTGGTGTAACTCCAGCCATGCAGACAGACAGTAGAATAGTGGTGTAACTCCAGCCATGCAGACACAGTATAATAGTGGTGTAACTCCAGCCATGCAGACAGACAGTAGAATAGTGGTGTAACTCCAGCCATGCAGACAGACAGTAGAATAGTGGTGTAACTCCAGCCATGCAGATAGACAGTAGAATAGTGGTGTAACTCCAGCCATGGAGACAGACAGTAGAATAGTGGTGTAACTCCAGCCATGCAGACAGACAGTAGAATAGTGGTGTAACTCCAGCCATGCAGACACAGTAGAATAGTGGTGTAACTCCAGCCATGCAGACAGACAGTAGAATAGTGGTGTAACTCCAGCCATGCAGACAGACAGTAGAATAGTGGTGTAACTCCAGCCATGCAGACAGACAGTAGAATAGTGGTGTAACTCCAGCCATGCAAGCAGACAGTAGAATAGTGGTGTAACTCCAGCCATGCAGACAGACAGTAGAATAGTGGTGTAACTCCAGCCATGCAGGCAGACAGTAGAATAGTGGTGTAACTCCAGCCATGCAGACAGACAGTAGAATAGTGGTGTAACTCCAGCCATGCAGACAGACAGTAGAATAGTGGTGTAACTCCAGCCATGCAGACAGACAGTAGAATAGTGGTGTAACTCCAGCCATGCAGACAGACAGTAGAATAGTGGTGTAACTCCAGCCATGCAGACAGACAGTAGAATAGTGGTGTAACTCCAGCCATGCAGACAGACAGTAGAATAGTGGTGTAACTCCAGCCATGCAGACAGACAGTAGAATAGTGGTGTAACTCCAGCCATGCAGACAGACAGTAGAATAGTGGTGTAACTCCAGCCATGCAGACAGACAGTAGAATAGTGGTGTAACTCCAGCCATGCAGACAGACAGTAGAATAGTGGTGTAACTCCAGCCATGCAGACAGACAGTAGAATAGTGGTGTAACTCCAGCCATGCAGACAGACAGTAGAATAGTGGTGTAACTCCAGCCATGCAGACAGACAGTAGAATAGTGGTGTAACTCCAGCCATGCAGACAGACAGTAGAATAGTGGTGTAACTCCAGCCATGCAGACAGACAGTAGAATAGTGGTGTAACTCCAGCCATGCAGACACAGTAGAATAGTGGTGTAACTCCAGCCATGCAGACAGACAGTAGAATAGTGGTGTAACTCCAGCCATGCAGACAGACAGTAGAATAGTGGTGTAACTCCAGCCATGCAGACAGACAGTAGAATAGTGGTGTAACTCCAGCCATGCAGACAGACAGTAGAATAGTGGTGTAACTCCAGCCATGCAGACACAGTAGAATAGTGGTGTAACTCCAGCCATGCAGACAGACAGTAGTATAGTGTTTTTAACGCCATCAATGCGATACACAGAGACAGTAGCAGTGTGTGAAGGTACATGACTGTAGAGTCCTGGAAAACAGCCAGGAGATCACATTACAGAGTGGAGTACCAGCAGGATGTATTACAGTACAGTGTACCAGCAGGATGTATTACAGTACAGTGTACCAGCAGGATGTATTACAGTACAGTGTACCAGCAGGATGTATTACAGTACAGTGTACCAGCAGGATGTATTACAGTACAGTGTACCAGCAGGATGTATTACAGTACAGTGTACCAGCAGGATGTATTACAGTACATTACACCTCTCCTATGCTATTATTACACTAACACCTTCTCTACTGCAGGGACAGACAGACAGACAGACAGGGTGCTAAGCTACCAAAGTTGTATCATTGTTACTTATTGCCCACAAGCTAATAATACTGGACGGAAGTGTCTGGGAACCAGAGAGCTTGTTTGATGCTATCTGGCCAGAGGAATCAGAGTAGTAGTGACATGCATTGGAAATCAAACACTTGTTGTAAGCTTTTGCAAGGTAATGATCAGTGTATTTTTCTACCCTTTCCCAGCCACTAAGTGTGATGGCCCCAGGAAGTTTATGTGCAAGAACGGACAGTGTATCGACAGCAGCAAGGTGTGTGATGCCGTCAAAGACTGCAAGGACTGGTCAGATGAACCTATGAAGGAGTGTGGTGAGACACACACAAACACACATGCATGCATGCATGCATGCATACACATACAAACGCATACATACACTGTACACTGATAAATGTACACACATGCATACATACACACACACACACACACACACACACACACACACACACACACACACACTTATTAACATCCACTTGACATGCAAATGGTCACTGTGCTAGTAATCAGAGCTTCATTTCATCAATGGAGAGTAAATCAGTACAACTCTCAGCGCTCTCGTTCCCATCAAAGACCAACTCTTCCCTCGAGTGTGTTCACGGCTAGGAAACGTGCTCTGACTACACTACCCATAAGGCACCATATGGATTAGCTTCCCACCATAGATAATTGCAACTTAGAGCTCTTTAGTCATGGACCTCACAGTGGAATGCTCTGGAACCTCTAGCTTTGTGTTCCTGATAGGTCAACAGTATGTCAACATTCAGATCAGCTCCAGCACTGGCAACCAACCACTGCTTTCATCTTTCTTATCTTTTGTAATGATGAAATAGAGTGACATGAAATCTATTTGGTGTGCTGTACATTAACATCTGTGACATTATATCTTTGCTTTGCCGTACATGTTATGCATATATTCTGTTAGAATTGTATCAATGTAGAAATATAACATGGGCTTTTGTACTACTGAAACCATGTAAGTGAACATGTACTGTTCGTTAATATGGAAGATAAATGACCAGCTTGTGGTTGTACAACATCCTCCAGCCTCCCTCTCTTCCTATCAGGCATGACTGTACCTGTAGCCTTGTTTAATCTGCTATGTAAACTCATAACGAAGTGTCTGCTGTCAACACCACTCTATCTGCTAGAATTATGAGCGGAAGGGAGGAAGGAGTGGGATAAAGGGATGCAAGGAAGGATGGAGACTGGTAGAGAGAAGGAGGAGGGGAGGGGGGTAAGGAGAGGATAGATACTGAAAGGGGAACAGAAGGAGAGAGAGGGAAGGTAAGGAGGAGGGATGGATAAAGGGATAAGAGGAGGAAAGAGGAGGAGGAGAAGGGATGGATGGATAGTGGGATGGATAGGGGGATAAGGGGAGGAAGGAGAGGGATATGGGGAGGAGGAGGGATGGATAGAGGGATGGATAAGGGGAGGAAGGAGGGGGATATGGTGAGGAGGAGGGATGGATAGAGGGATAAGGGGAGGAATGAGAGGGATATGGGGAGGAGGAGGGATGGATAGAGGGATGGATAAGGGGAGGAAGGAGGGGGATATGGGTAGGAGGAGGGATGGATAGAGGGATGGATGGGGGATAAGGGGAGGAAGGAGGGGGATATGGGGAGGAGGAGGGATGGATAGAGGGATAAGGGGAGGAATGAGGGGGATATGGGGAGGAGGAGGGATGGATAGTGGGATGGATAAGGGGAGGAAGGAGGGGGATATGGTGAGGAGGAAGGATGGATAGAGGGATAAGGGAGGGATATGGGGAGGGAGGAGGGATGGATAGAGGGATGGATAAAGGGAGGAAGGAGGGATGGGATAGGGGGATAAGGGGAGGAAGGAGGGGGATATGGGGAGGAGGAGGGATGGATAGAGGGATAAGGGGAGGAATGAGAGGGATATGGTGAGGAGGAGGGATGGATAGAGGGATAAGGGGAGGAATGAGAGGGATATGGGGAGGAGGAGGGATGGATAAGGGGAGGAAGGAGGGGGTATGGGGGTAGGGGAGGGAGGATGGTAGAGGGATGGATAAGGGGAGGAATGAGGGGGATATGGTGAGGAGGAGGGATGGATAGTGGGATGGATAAGGGGAGGAAGGAGGGGGATATGGGGAGGAGGAGGGATGGATAGGGGGATAAGGGGAGGAAGGAGAGGGATATGGGGAGGAGGAGGGATGGATAGAGGGATGGATAGGGGGATAAGGGGAGGAAGGAGAGGGATATGGGGAGGAGGAGGGATGGATAGAGGGATAAGTGGAGGAAGGAGAGGGATATGGGGAGGAGGAGGAGGAGGGATGGATAGAGGGATAAGGGAAGGAGAGCTGCTCCTTTGAGGAAATCAAATTAGACGGGGGCACCTGACGCATAGCCGCCCCCTCTTGAGCCCCAGTACATTTTGGACTGGTTCCAGGTGTGTAATAGCTACATATTCCCCTAGAGCCTCCCCAGGCGCACACACACACACACACACACACACACACACACCAATATCTTGGTTGTTTTATTGATGTTTAACTCCCTTTCACCACCCCCCCCCCCTCTCTCTCTCTCTCTCTCTCTCTCCCTCTCTAGGTGTGAATGAGTGTGCAGACAAAAATGGAGGCTGCTCTCACATCTGCAGAAACAGGAGGATCGGCTATGAGTGTGACTGTCCCTCTGGATACCAACTAATGGACAAGAAGACCTGTGAAGGTAGAGTACCAGACAACCTGTCCCTCTCAGACAAGACCTGTGAAGGTACAGGACCAGAAAACCTGTCCCTCTCAGACAAGACCTGTGAAGGTACAGGACCAGACAATCTAAAACCTTACTTCAATACACCAAAATGGCTCTCATTCACTTTCAGGGATTCCGTTAGCCAGTAATAGCCAGCTTTTGGCCGATAAAAAAATAGAAAAGCCCGATAATTAAAATTGCCGCTGGCCAATTGTCCAGGAGAAGAAGGAAAAATCCCATTAAGAAATAATGCTTTTAGCCTCTTCATTGATGGAAATTCCAGTTGATGGAAATACATTTTACTGGTCATGCTTATCAGTCTGTAGGTTAATTTGCATAATTTAGTGGAATTAAATTGGTGCGTGTGTACAGTATATTCGTTATGTATCTTATTTATCACACACACAGCAAACAGATACAGAGCCGTTGAGAGGAACATCTGTCAGAAAGCGTGAGAGCTGCTCCTACTGCATCTCAAACCGTAAACGCAGACGACGGAAGACAGGCTTCATCAGCACGTCACACACCACTCTGCAATGAGCTGGAGGCAGTGTGCATTTTCAAAACGGAATTGTTTGAAACCTGAAAATTTTACTACATATGACGCATGTCTTACCTTGCTTCAAAGTAGCCTAACCAAAATCAGACCATATCCGTGGAGGCAATTATTTGATATAAACTTTCTTTCATTGTCCTGTAGCCAAAGGCACAATCCTAGTCATATTAGCAACCCATGCTAGTTGTTACATATTAGATCTCCCCTCTTTCTAAATTACGAACAGATACAGTGTCTTCGGAAAGTATTCAGACCCCTTGACTTTTTCCACATTTTGTTAGGTTACAGCCTTATTCTAAAATTGATTTAAATGTTTTTTTTTCCTCATCCATCTACACACAATACCCCATAATGACAAAGCAAAAACAGGATTTTATCAAGTTTGGCAAATTTATTAAAAATAAAAAACTGAAATATCACATTTATATAAGTATTCAGACCCTTTACTCAGTCCTTTATTGAAGCACCTTTGGCAGCGATTACAGCCTTGAGTCTTCTTGGTTATGATGCTACAAGCTTGGCACACCTGTATTTGGTGAGTTTCTCCCATTCTTCTCTGCAGATCCTCTCAAGCTCTGTCAAGTTCGATGGGGACCGTTGCTGCACAGCTATTTTCAGGTCTCTTCAGAGATGTTAAATGGGGTTCAAGTCCGGGCTCTGGCTGGGCCACTCAAGGACATTCAGAGACTTGTCCCAAACCCACTCCTGCGTTGTCTTGGCTGTGTGCTTAGGGTCATTGTCCTTTTGGAAGGTGAACCTTTGCCCCAGTCTGAGGTCCTGAGCGGTTTTCATTAAGGATCTCTCTGTACTTTGTTCCGTTCATCTTTGCCTCGATCCTGACTAGTCTCCCAGTCCCTGCAGCTGAAAAACATCCCCACAGCATGGTGCTGCCAACACCATGCTTCACCGTAGGGATGGTGCCAGGTTTCCTCCAGAAGTGAAGCTTGGTATTCAGGCCAAAGAGTTCAATCTTGGATTCATCAGACCAGACAATCGGGATCTTGGTCACCTCCCTGACCAAGGCCCTTCTCCCCCGATTGCTCAGTTTGGCCGGGCGGCCAGCTCTATGAAGAGTCTTGGTGGTTCCAAACATTTAGGAATGATGGAGACCACTGGGTTCTTGGGGACCTTCAATGCTGCAGATATTTTTTGGTACCCTTCCCCAGATCTGTGCCTCGACACAATCCTGTCTCGGAGCTCTATGGACAATTCCTTCGACCTCATGGCTTGGTTTTTGCTCTGACATGCACTGTCAACTGTGGGACCTTATATAGACAGGTGTGTGCCTTACCAAATCATTTCCAATCAATTGAATTTACCACAGGTGGACTCCAATCAAGTTGTAGAAACATCTCAAGGATGATCAATGGAAACAGGATACACCTGAGCTCAATTTCGAGTCTCATAGCAAAGGGTGTGAATACTTAAGTAAATAAGGTAGTTCTGTTTTTAATTTTTCTATTTCCCCCAACCCCCCCCCCCCCCCAAAAAAATTTTTTTTTTCTAAAAACCTGTTTTCGCTTTGTCATTATGGGGTATTGTGTGTAGATTGCTGAGGATTTTTATTTATTTAATAAATTTTAGAATAAGGCTGTAACATAACAAAATGTGGAAAAATTCAAGGGGTCTGAATACTTTCCGAAGGCACTGTATTTTCATCTCTGTCACATGAAACCGCTCGCATTTGCAGAGTGTTTTCCCGCTAATTGCATTATGGAACGAACATTCGCGCACAGCCTACTGCCTTATGTGCATTGCTGCGCTTATAATGTATATAATAACAGTTTATCAACATTTTAAAGCTAAACGTTCTGATCTGTTGCATCTTAACGTTTAGTTTTTTTGTAGCCTACTGGTTGGATGCATTTGGGATTTATCGTTCAAAAACTGTCCCAGAGTGTTAAGAATAGGCCATTTTTTTCTCGACAAGCTGAACAATAGAATAGGTCAACTTTTCTACCTTGGGGGATAGTAGATTGACATAGGCTAGTGATTTTACTGTTCGTTACTCATCTTGTTGACTGAGGAAAAGTAAATGTGGACAGTTATTCTAACATCTTCAAAGTGTGCATCAGAATTCGGGAAGAAGGGCCGCACATCATTGCATCCTCGACTTGCATGTTCTGTTAATATGAATTACCATAATCTAAATGTGATTTCTGTCATTCTGAGCACCGTGGGTGGACGCTTTAATCAGGTTACGCACCCAATGCATATGGGTCTGGTAAATTGCTCAAATGTGCGGTAAATTAAAATGCAGCCGGTCAAATGTCCGGGAGCCACATTTTCCTAATGGAAACCCTGTTCCCTTTAGCCATTACATCATGACCAACGATTGCTCTGTCTGAAAATTGCTCTCTCAATCTCTTACACGTTCCCTTCTCTTCTCGTACTCTCTCTTTCCAAACAGTACTTACATATATCTCTACCTACCGCCCATCCCCTTGGTCTCCTGTCTGTGTGGAGACAGTGTGTCCTGTGTTATTGATGTATTTCTAATGTCTCTCCCCAGACATAGATGAGTGTGAGAATCCCAACTCATGCAGCCAGATCTGCATCAACTACAAAGGAGACTACAAGTGTGAATGTTACGAGGGCTATGAGATGGACCCCAGCACCAAGACCTGCAAGGCCGTGGGTAAGAGAGGCATCCCATTATGTCCCTGGCAACCACAGAAGAGACATAGACACACACAAACACAGATATATACACACACACATACATGCATGCATGCACACACACACCGCAACCCAGCAACATCACAGTCTATTCTCAGCCCATCCGATATGAATGGAGGTTCTTTGTATGCAGGACTAGCACGGCACAGCAATCTGCGGTCGGTAAGGCAAATATTTGCCTTCTGCTTCTCAGGTAATGAAAATAAAAACATTCCCCCCTTGCCTGTCAGGGCGCTGTAGGACACAGCCAGGTATTGTCCCTCTCCGTGCCCCCACGGTAAACACTCCAGGCTGGGCATGAATATAAATAATGTCCCTGGTCTTAACTTCGGGGCCTGGGACTGATCTTTGACTGTGTAGAGAAAGACAGTATTTTTGATTAGCATCATCATTCTTAGGTTAGATCATTACAGGGCAAACTGATGCGGTAATGAGGGGGCTTAAGCAGCAATTGGCTCGGCTTTGCTCTAAGTGGCGTGAAAAACGACATTGATTACCTTCCATCTGAGAAGGCACATCTTTGTTACTGTTAGAGAGAGCATACACACTGTCAGAAAGCTGGGGCGTTTATTATTAGAGCGGAGGGGAGGGGGGGGGTGTGTGCATTCGTGCTTGCTTGTGTTGGTGTTAATAGAATAGCTCCTTGGTTATTGAAGTGAAGTGATGGAGAGTTGCGTTCTGTTGGGCGCATCCATCCGTATTGTTGATTGCAGCCTATGCAGCACAGAGAGACAGGGACATATTATTATTATTATTATTATTATTATTATTTATGCAGTGGTTTATTTATTCTGAAGCTTGGGAAGGAGGTAGAAATGCAGAGGCGCCTGCTATGTGATGCTGAGGTAATATGGATTTAATGAACCTCCACACTCACAGACACACACATCAACAGACACACAACCTCGTACATTCTCAACGACGCACACACTCATACCAATTTACAGACAACACACGAACACACACACACATTCCACTGCGGTAGATTGGTTAGGTTCACTCTCCTGCTCGACAACAGGAGCTGACAGCTGAAGCGATGATGTCGTTAAGCAGATCACACTGAGCTGTAAAACCTAAGGCTTTATTTGTGATGTTCAGCGAACGCGATACCATTATTACCCTTCATCCAATCACACACACAGATTAGAGGGCATGGGCCATTATGCTACTTTTTACTGCTCACTGACGATGTCTGAATATCGTCTTAACTTGGAAAGCCCTTGGAGGCTGGATGGAGAAAGCGTTATAAGAATACTCATTTGATATACTTTCTGAAGTGTTTTACTAGTTTTAATTGTAGCTACCACGCATAATGATTTAGACAGCAGTCTCCCATATGGTTCTCTAGTTACTATGAACAGTGTAGAAGGTCATTAAAACCACAACTCCCAGGTTGGTGGCATCATGTTACGTTCATCGCTATAATCCAAAAGTATGTAATTTACCATACAATGGAGCAAGTTGATTCCCACAAGTCATTGAATGTTTTATTTTGTTCACCCTGGGTGCAATATCACTCACTAACAGTTAATGACTAACTGATTGGCTCTCACAATTTTTCCTTTGTGCATACATGCATTTGTGTGTGTTTGTGTCCGTGTCTGCAATTATACTGCAGCATTCTCTGCAAACATGTAAATCTATACTTACTCAGTCTATTCTCATAAAACACTGAGGTGTGCAGTTTTGCTCTCCTCTTTGTCCTTCTCTTTGTCCTTCTCTTTATCCTCCTCTGTGTCCTCCTCTATACTCCTCTATACTCCTCTTTGTCCTCCTCTATACTCCTCTTTGTCCTCCTCTATACTCCTCTTTGTCCTCCTCTATACTCCTCTTTCGTCCTCCTCTTTGTCCTCCTCTATACTCCTCTTTTTCTTCCTCTTTGTCCTCCTCTATACTCCTCTTTGTCTTCCTCGATACTCCTCTTTAACCTCCTCTTTGTCCTCCTTTATACTCCTCTTTGTCCTCCTCTATACTCATCTTTGTCCTCCCCTTTGTCCTCCTCCTTGTCCTCCTCTATACGCCTCTTTGTCCTCCTCTATACTCCTCTTTGTCCTCCTCTATAATCCACTTTGTCCTCCTCTTTGTCCTCCTCTTTGTCCTCATCTATACTCCTCTTTCCCCTCCTCTTTGTCCTCCTCTTTGTCCTCCTCTTTCCCCTCCTCTTTGTCCTCCTCTTTGTTCTCCTCTTTGTCCTCCTCTATACTCCTCTTTGTCCTCCTCTTTGTCCTCCTCTATACTCATCTTTATCCTCCTCTTTGTCCTCCTCTATACTCCTCTTTGCTCTCCTATTTGTCCTTCTCTTTATCCTCCTCTGTGTCCTCCTCTATACTCCTCTTTGTCCTACTCTATACTCCTCTTTGTCCTCCTCTATACTCCTCTTTGTCCTCCTTTATACTCTTTGTCCTTATCTATATTTTTGTTTTATTTTTTTATTTCACCTTTATTTAACCAGGTAAGCCAGTTGAGAACACGTTCTCATTTACAACTGCGACCTGGCCAAGATAAAGCAAAGCAGTGTGATAAAAACAACAACACAGAGTTACATATGGGGTAAAAAAAAACAAAGTAAAAAATACAACAGAAAATATATATACTCCTCTTTGTCCTCCTCTATACTCCTCTTTGTCCTCCTCTTTGTCCTCCTCTTTGTCCTCCTCTATACTCCTCTTTGTCCTCCTCTATACTCCTCTTTGACCTCCTCTTTGTCCTCCTCTATACTCCTCTTTGCTCTCCTCTTTGTCCTTCTCTTTATCCTCCTCTGTGTCCTCCTCTATACTCCTCTATACTCCTCTTTGTCCTCCTCTATACTCCTCTTTGTCCTCCTTTATACTCCTCTTTGTCCTTATCTATACTCCTCTTAGTCCTCCTCTATACTCCGCTTTGTCCTCCTCTATACTCCTCTTTGTCCTCCTCTATACTCCTCTTTGCCCTCCTCTTTGTCCTCCTCTAGACTCCTCTTTTTCCTCCTCTTTGTCCTCCTCTATACTCCTCTTTGTCCTCCTCTATACTCCTCTTTTGTCCTCCTCTGTGTCCTCCTCTATACTCCTCTATACTCCTCTTTGTTCTCCTCTATACTCCTCTTTGTCCTCCTCTATACTCCTCTTTGTCCTCCTCTATAATCATATTTGTCCTCCTCTTTGTCCTCATCTATACTCCTCTTTGTCCTCCTCTTTGTCCACCTCTTTGTCCACCTCTTTGTCCTCCTCTATACTCATCTTTGTCTTCCTCTTTGTCCTCCTCTATACTCCTCTTTGTCCTCCTCTTTGTCCTCCTCTATACTCCTCTTTTTCCTCCTATTTGTCCTCCTCTTTGTCCTCCTCTATACTCCTCTTTGTCCTCCTCTTTGTCCTCCTCTATATTCCTCTTTGTCCTCCTCTTTGTCCTCATCTATACTCCTCTTTGTCCTCCTCTATACTTCTCCTTGTCTTCCTCTTTGTCCTCCTCTATACTCCTCTTTGTCCTCCTCTATACTCCTCTTTGTCATCCTCTTTGTCCTCCTCTATACTCCACTCTTTCCCTCTCCTTGCCTATCTGTCTGCATCTCTGTGTTTTACTCCTCAGTCCACCTTTTTACTGTCGCTCCCTCAATCTCACTATGCACCCTTTTCTCCCTTTAGGGTATCTCCCTCCCTCCCTCTATATAAATATATAACAGTTCCCAGTCTCCTTCCCAGCATTTGTTAAAAGACAGGCAGCAAAGTAATCCAGCTCTGTCTGTTGTGACAGTGCCTCTGCTCAGCTCAGCTCCTGTCTGTCATAGTGAGTCTAGGGCAGAGTCTAGGGCAGAGTCTAGGGCAGAGGCTAGGGCAGCCATAGACATCACAAAACTAGGGATGGATTGGTTCAAACATTCAGCGCTCTCTGAAGTCCTAGCCTGACATGGATCTAATGGAATATACATGTAAACTGTATATTTTTGCCTGTATTAGATGGAGTTTCAGAATGACATGGTAACTTTGGTCTTGTGGATTTAGTAGAGAATAGAAAGAGTGGAGTTTCTTCATGAGGATGACAACTCAGAATATTCATATTTTCACATTTACAGTCTGTGTTTAATACGTTTTTTTTCCATAATTGTAACTAACTGTTTCTGTACGTCAGATCGATTCCTCAGGCCTGGCTGCATATCTGTCCAGCTTTATCATTTTCAAAGCTTATCTTAATTGGCTGACAGTGCAGGGCTAAAATATGGCAGATTTAAGGGGGGCTGGGGACTGTGTTGACAGAGGCAGTAGGACATCTCTCTCTCTCAATTCAATTTCAATTTAAAGGGCTTTATTGGCATGGGAAACATATGTTTACGTTGCCAAAGCAAGTGAAATGGATAAACAAAAGTGAAATAAACAATAAAAAGTGAACAGTAAATATTACTCACACAAGTACCAAAATAATAGAGACATTTCAAATGTCATATTATGTCTATATAATCAGTGTTGTAGCAATGTGCAAATAGTTAAAGTACAAAAGGGAAAATAAATAAACATAAATATGGGTTGTATTTACAATGGTGTTTGTTCTTCACTGGTTGCCCTTTTCTTGTGGCAACAGGTCACAAAACTTGCTGCTGTGATGGCACACTGTGGAATTTCACCCAATAGATATGGGAGTTGATCAAATTGGATTTGTTTTCGAATTCTTTGTGGTTCTGTGTAATCTGAGGGAAATATGTTTCTCTAATATGGTCTTACATTTGGTAGGAGGTTAGGAAGTGCAGCTCAGTTTCCACCTCATTTTTTGGGCAGTGTGCACATAGCCTGTCTTCTCTTAAGAGCCAGGTCTGCCTACGGTGGCCTTTCTCAATAGCAAGGCTATGCTCACTGAGTCTGTACATAGTCAAAGCTTTCCTTAATTTTGGGTCAGTCACAGTGGTCAGGTATTCTGCCACTGTGTACTGTCTGTTT